ATCTTTCAAAGATTGAAGACTAAGTTATCTGGTTGGTTTGAACGCACTTTATCACTTGGGGAGAAAAGAAGTTCTTCTTAAAGAAATTGCTATGGCTCTTCCTGTTTATGCCATGTCTTGCTTTAAACTGCCAAAAACAACATGTGAAAAAATTACTGCAGCCATGTCTAATTTCTGGTGGAACTCATTGGAACATAAAAAGAAAATCCATTGGATAAGTTGGGAGAAGCTTTGTTTAACCAAAGAACAAGGTGGCTTGGGTTTTAAGGATTTACAATGCTTTAATCAGGCCTTATTAGCTAAGCAAGTCTGGAGAATTATGAAGTATCCTAATTGCCTATTTGCTAGAGTTATGAAAAGCAGATATTTTGAAGATAATGATATTCTCTCAGCAAATTTGGGTTCACGGCCTTCATATATTTGGAGAAGTATTATTCATGGTCGTCAATTGCTTATCCCAGGTCTTAGAAAAATGATTGGTAATGGAAACTCTTCACTTGTATGGATTGATCCCTGGCTGTATGATGAGAGACTGCGGGTTCCTTTCATGATGAATATCTTTGTAGATTTGAATCTTAAGGTTTCAGCTTTGATTGACTTTCAGGAAAGAACTTGGAATCTACAAAGACTGCAGGAATTATTCTACCCAAGAGATGTGAACCTTATATTACTCAATCAACCTGTGATCTCTAGAGATGATTTTTGGTGTTGGATGCATAATAGAAGTGGGGACTACTTAGTTAAATCTGGTTATTAGTTAGCTAACCAATTAAATAATTCTGATCTTATTGCATCGGCTGTGAAAAGACCCTCTTTAAATGATCTAAAGATCCAGGTTTGGTCCTTACACACTTCTCCAAAAATCAAATGCTTTATTTGGAGAGCTTTAAGTGGTGCTATAGCTGTAGCAGATAAGTTAGAAATAAGAGGAATGAGCTACGATATGAGATGTCAATTTTGTGGCTGGAACAAGGAGTCTACCAATCATGTTCTTTTCCAGTGTTCTATTGCGCGTCAGGTTTGGGCTCTCTCTGATTTTCCCTGTCCACCATATGGTTTTGAATCTCATTCTGAATTCACCAACTTTCAATATCTACTATCATTGGCTCAAAATCAAGAAATTCCAGATTATATTCGTCAAAGCTTTCCTTGGACACTTTGGTATCTATGGAAGAATAGAAATGGCTTTTTCTTTGAAGGCAAACAAATTGTACCTATGGATCTGGTTTTGAAAATTAAAGACGAAGCATCACAATGGGTAAATGCTCAAATCATTGGCACCAAATACACAAGATCAAAAATCTTTGACAGAGGCAAGAGCAGAAAGACTTGGTCTAAGCCTCCTGCTCCATGGTTAAAATGCAACATTGGAATGTCTTGGTCAAAGAGGAATCACATTGGTGGTTTCTCATGGGTTTTAAGAGATTGGAATGGCATGGTATTGTTGCATAGTAGACGCTCCTTCTCCAATATTGCCTCTCTAACAGAAGCTAAATTTCAAAGCATCACATGGGCTATTGATAGCATGATTAGTCATAAATTCAACAGTGTGATCTTTGCCTCTGAAGCCACTGACATGGTAAATGCAACCAATGAACCTCAAGACTGGCCTTCTCTACAATATTTTGGTGCGGAAATTGTCAGAAAGCTAGCTTCAATACAAAATTGGAGATTTGAAAATGCAGACACTGAATCAAACAAAGGAGCAACACGCATTGCTCATAGTATCATTCGAGACAATCGGTTTCAATCCTATGTGGCAACAGGTTATCCCTCTTGGCTCAAATCTCTCTTTGATTCAGAAAGATAGTTTGTCTTTGTGTTTTAACCTGCAACTCTCCTTGATCCAGCAGGTTTGAAACTAGTTTTTTAAATTCAGTCACGACAAATTTTTGGATTTTCACTCTTAGTTATATATAATTACTTAATCTCTAAGATTATCTCCTTTCCTTATTTCTATGTTATTCTATCCTTATCTTCTCTCCTTTTCACGATTTCTTTTTGTTTTACCTTGATACTTTTTACATTATCTTGACTTTCAACTTACCTTGGGTTACCAAACCAAATACGTTTTCTACATAGTTTTCCTTCTTATAAATACTTTCATTCTTCTCTTCCTTCTCCTCACCCAAAACTTTTTTCTCTTTATCTTTTTAAGTTCTCCTTCATCTCTAACTATGGCAGATAGGTTATGGGATGATTTACAAAACTCCAACTTAGGTCGTAATGATCCTGAGCTCTTTATTCCTCATCATACTTATGTTGACGTTGTTGGAAGGAATAGACTCAGCCTTATTGCTCGGCCTCTCAACACCAGATCTCAAAGTCTCCAAGCTGTTTTCTCTTCACTTCCAAGAACTTGGGGACTGACTACACGTATCCATGGAAGAGTTTTGAGTGATACTTATGTCCAGTTCATATTTCAATCTGAAATAGACTTGGTTTCAGTTCAACGCAGGGCTCCATGGATCTTTAATAATTGGTTCATAGCATCACAGAGATGGGAAGACTTCCCAGATGTTGACTTCCTTACTACCATTGAATTTTGGGTGCAAATCCGTGGAATCCCACTTCCCTATGTATCAGAAGGCACAGCCAGGTTTATTGCTCAAACTTTAGGTCAAGTGATCTACTTGGACTTTCATGATGAAACAACAGTTCAAATCACCTTTATCAGAGTTAGAGTTCGATTTGGAATTACAGACTGCTTTAGGTTTTTCAGAAGGGTTTGTTTTGAGTCAAGAGAAAGGGCTATGATTAGCTTTCAATATGAACGTCTGAGAAGGATTTGTAGTCATTGTCTTCAAATTACACATCAAAGAAGTCACTGCCCTCATTTCAGCTCCCTCAGACTCCTAGGAACAGTCCTGAAGTCCTAGATGTACCACTTTACAACAGGAGGAGGTCTTATGATGAGGATAGAAGATCCAATTTTAATTCTCAATCTCAAAACTCTGATTACTCCTTTCCAGCGCCTTTGACTCCACCACCAAGACTGGATTCTCCTCCACCAAACCCTGAAGAATTTGTAGCTGCCTTTCCACACTTTCATGAATCAAGTCCAGAAGGATTACATCAATCAGCTTATCCATCTCCGAGAACTGTTATATGGAGAAGGGAATCTTCCACAGAGTCTATGATTTCCCCAAACACCACAGCAGGATCCACTCTTGGAATATCAAACAACTTTGAGGTTGGTGAATCTTCAAAACGTCCAAATTCAGACTCTACTGAGAATGGAGGAATTCTGAAGCCTCCCAAGAAAAGATAACTCACTCTACTAAATTCTGTCATAACTTTTTGGGTCCCTGTAACTGCCATTACAGGTTAAGTTAAGTTGGTTTGTTGAATAAGATTCTAGAACAGACTAAGTCACCTTTTGGTTTCTGTTTTAGACAAGTTTAGTTTATGATATCAGCCTAATCTTCTCTACTTGATTGTCAAGTTTAGACTTGGTAATCTTGTTCTGTACTAGTTGATAGGCTTTGGCTTTATGCACTTTTGTAATGTCTCAGTTGTATTGGCTTAGCCTAATCTTCTCTACTTGATTGTCAAGTTTAGACTTGGTAATCTTGTTCTGTACTAGTTCATAGGCTTTGGCTTTATGCATTTTTGTAATGGCTCAGTTGTACTGACTTTTATATATAAAAGTAACACTCTTGTGACAAAAAAAAAAAATTGAGTAGAGTTATGTGAAAAAACTAGTTTTCGAAGAAATAAATCAAGGAACCTATTGTATATGGGTAATGAGCCGACGTCATCCACATCTTTTCTTTAGGCCTATCCATTATCTCGGGCCCTACTTCAAATCAGATCAAATCGGACTTTTCTCTCTCGATTATTAACGACCCGACCCGACCCGACCCGACTCGGATAATTACATTTCTAGCACATGAGAAAAAGAAGAAACGACACACCAACCTCAGTGCCCACCACTGCTCTGCTCTCTCTTCCTCTATCTCTCTAATCTCTTCCTTCGTCAATGGCGACTCATGGTCAGGTTATCACATGCAAAGGTATTTTCTCTTCTCGATCACTATCTCTTTCTCTTCGATTATAGTGTTTTCTATCTAGATACATGAATTTCTCGCGATGTTTTGTAAATCCTATCTCCGATTGTGAGTTTTCTGATTTGATTTCATAGCTGCGGTGGCTTACGAGCCGAACAAGCCTCTGGTCATCGAAGATGTGCAAGTAGCTCCTCCTCAAGCCGGTGAGGTTCGGATCAAGATCCTCTACACTGCTCTTTGTCACACCGACGCTTACACTTGGAGCGGCAAGGTTCGTCCTCTCCATTCTCCTTCATTTGATTTGATTTAGTGTATTTCTTGGTTGATTTGAATCGATTTATTGTGGATTAGAGGCTGAATTTGAGTTGCTTTATCGAAATTTATGAGTTAATTCCTGATTTGTTGTGGATTAGTGAATCAATTTTGAGCTGAGTCCAAATGTTTGATTGCAGGATCCTGAAGGTCTCTTTCCATGTATCCTCGGTCATGAAGCTGCTGGGTATGTTAATGTTCATAAACATCAATTTCTTTGATTTGTGAGATCGATCTCCTCAAAGCTATAAATCTGTTTTTTGTTTTGTGGGGATAGGGTTGTTGAGAGTGTTGGTGAAGGTGTAACAGAAGTTCAAGCCGGAGATCATGTTATCCCTTGTTATCAAGCTGAGTGTCGTGAATGCAAGTTTTGCAAATCTGGGAAGACTAACCTTTGTGGCAAGGTGAGATCTGCTACTGGTGTTGGGATTATGATGAACGACCGTAAGTCGAGGTTCTCGGTTAATGGAAAACCCATTTATCACTTCATGGGTACTTCCACCTTTAGTCAGTATACTGTTGTTCATGATGTTAGCGTCGCCAAAATTGATCCTCATGCTCCTTTGGATAAAGTCTGCCTTCTTGGATGTGGTGTTCCCACTGGTAAGAATTCAACCATCTTAAAATACAGTCTTTCTTACACGTTTCCCATGATTTCCGTATTTTTTGGATCTTCGTTAATCTTTCTCACTGATTAGTAGTATACTAAGTTCTTTTGTAGTGTCTCCTACCAATTCTGCTTAGTAATGGATTGATCGACATGGTTCTTCACCATCCTCTTTATTCTTTCTGATAGGAATCTAAATCCGTTCTTCTTCTTTCTTTGCGAGTTTTTGGTGATATAGCGAACTTGATTTATTGTCTGTCCGTAACTGTATATCATGTATCTGCGTCTTATTAGGCCTTGGAGCTGTTTGGAATACTGCAAAAGTAGAACCAGGGTCAAATGTTGCGATTTTTGGTCTTGGCACTGTGGGACTTGCTGTAAGCTACTGCCTTTCTAAAGCTTCCATAATTATTTATCCCCAAGGAAGAGAATCTATGTGGTTATTTTTTTTCAAATTGTCAATGGTTAGGTTGCCGAGGGTGCGAAAACAGCTGGTGCTTCAAGGATCATTGGCATTGATATCGATAGCAAGAAGTACGAAACTGGTAAATCTCCTCATCTTTCTTCACTGGATTTTGTTACCGCATATAATTTGTACAATTCACTGAGTTTCTTGGTTGTGGAATTTCAGCAAAGAAGTTTGGTGTTAACGAATATGTGAACCCAAAGGATCACGACAAGCCAATTCAGGAAGTGATTGTCGAGCTCACTGATGGTGGTGTTGACTACAGCTTTGAGTGCATCGGGAATGTCTCCGTGATGAGAGCTGCATTGGAGTGCTGTCACAAGGTAAGTCATCCATGTACAACATTCAGAAGAAACCGTTAAAAAATTTATAAAAACGAGGATGTGGTTAAGAGGTAAAGACAACATTGCAGGGATGGGGAACTTCAGTCATAGTGGGAGTTGCAGCATCAGGACAAGAGATATCAACTCGACCATTCCAACTCGTGACTGGCCGTGTGTGGAAAGGAACAGCCTTTGGTGGTTTCAAGAGTCGAACCCAAGTGCCTTGGCTTGTAGAAAAGTATCTGAACAAGGTTAGACAACTTAAACAAACTTGAGCAATGATTCTTATTATCTTCTTCTCTTCAAACACTTCACTGTTGCGTGAAATTCAAACGATGCAGGAGATAAAAGTGGATGAATACATAACACACAACTTGACCTTGGGAGAGATCAATAAGGCTTTCGATCTATTGCACGAAGGTAGTTGCCTTCGTTGTGTCCTCGATACCAGCGAATGACAACACCAATGGTCCTCTCTGCTTCAATCTATGTGTTCTTGTGACTTTCGTCTTTTATCAGTAATGACAATTTCCTGAGCAACGGACTCAAATCGTGTGTGGTCTCTCTGTTTTATGCCTCAATAAAATTTCATTTTAAGACCGAAAGCATCATTAATCACTTCACTGAATCACGAATCATATAGCGAAGAGAAGAAAACATGAAACGTACTAGGACTGTAGGACACACGAATAGGTTTTGGTGCGTCACTAAGTTATGGGCCTGAGAAATAAAATATTCCAGGCCCATATATCAAATATCTCAAGCCCATTACAAAAATATCACCACCTCTCGTCACCGAACCAATTATCCTTCTCCTTAGGTCCCGTCGGTCCTTCCTCGCCGGATAATTCCACCGGGATCTTCCTCAACACAGCATCAACCCAAGATCTCATCCTCCATGGCAATCGTTCATTCAATTTCTCAATCTCCGATCTCGAATTATACACAATCTTCGGTCCCCACTCTCTCATATAACCTAACCACGGCGGCTCCACCACCGCATCTCCGAGATACTCCGCCGCAACAATCTCATACCTCAAACTCGAATCAACAAAGAAATCGCTTCTCGCTGTATCATTCCTTATCCCAATTCCAAGCAAATCAGATCCTTGTAAATACAATCCAGACTTAGAAAAGCTTGCGTGTCCATGCTTCGACGAATAAACCACAGCTTTGTTACTTCCTTCAATGAACTCAAGATCTTGAGGTTTGATCCATTCGCCGCCACTGTGTTGTGAGAAGTAAATCGAGTAAATCTCGCCGGAGAAATTGCTGATTCTGAGTGTGAAATGTTCCCAATCACAAACATGTTGACCAGTTTTAGCTAACGAGATATTCATGAGCCCTAGTTTCAGAGTCGCTGGTCCGTTGAATGGACAGAAAATCCAAAACGCAAGATCAGTGAACGTTCCTCCAAATGCTGGCTTAACGTGAACGTAAAGCTTCGAGCTTTCGAGATTGCCTCGTTTGAGGAATTCGCGTCTTTGTTGATCGTTTATCGGTAAATCGATCCAATATCGCTTATCGTTGGTTCCGCCATGAGGTAGATTCGAGCCGGTTTCGTCTATAGGTTCATTGATATCAGAGGAATTTGAGTTGCTGCATAAGACTGCACCGTTTCTGAAGAACCATGAGACGGAAGAAGGTAGATAGACTTCATTAGGATGGAAGTAAACTCTTGGACCATAGTGTTGAATCAAAGCATGGATTTGTTCCATGTTTGGCATTGCGTGTAAACTCGAATCGAGGTTTTTTAGACACGCGATTGTACTGAGATGATCTTCTTCCGGGGATTGAGTTGTGCAGAAGAATGTACCTGTTGAGACTCCTTTGCCCCACATTCCGCGGTCAGAAGGTCTTGTTTGCCATATAAACAAAGGAATGCTTAAAGAATTCGATATAGCAGTGATGATGACTTTATGTGCTTCACATTTATCGGTTAGATCAGCTCGAACGCATCTAACTTGATCCAATTCTGGTTTCGAGGGACTCGTTGTAACCAAAAATCCGATCGTTTTATACCCTTGAGGAGGCTGCGGTAGCCAGAAGTAACCGCTTTGAGATTCTTCTGATAAGTCATTTGAGCTCCAGACCAATGTATAATCAAGTGGTTGCACAAGTGCAGGCTCTGAAGACTTATTAACTTGTCTTGCTACTAGAAGGAAACCTCTCAAGAGATGAGAATCAGACTGACAGTAATGACCTAAACAATGGAAATCTTCGAGTAATTTGTCCGGTTTGTAGAAGGAAACACTCTTCTTGTTGTCTCGACGAGAGCAGTATCGCCATACAAATTCAAAACTTGTGACCTCGGCGAGTTCTAAATCGCCAAGATTGATTCTTCCTGAACCAAAGCCTTGACCTGATAATCAATTCAAAGCCAAGAAAAGTGTATCAAAAAACTTTTTACGATTTATGAATAGATGAGTTGTTAGAAACGTAAAAGACTGTTCCTAAGACTTGTACATGGATTGGATCAAATCACATCGAAACTAAAGAGCTAAATCGAGACACTTTGGGGGAAAATCGAATTCCGATCTGAAAAAAGTAAAGTTGAAAATCGTCAACAATTGGAATGATAAAATTTTACCTGAAGGCCACTGGGGAATAGAAGCAGGGAGAGAGAAGGTTTCAGGTTCCTTCAATGGAGGTAATTCTCTGAGATTGTTCCAATACAGACATTTGCATCCAAACATTCCCTCTGTGTCTCTGAGATCATCCGATGCTTCGCGAAACCATAACAATGAAACACCGACATATATCAAAACCTTGTTGGGTCCCAATTCTTTAATCCTCGAGATATTTCGATTTTCTGATAATTCTCCAACCCATTTTTTTCTCAGGGGAAAAAACAGAGTAAATAAAACACGAATATTACACAACATATATGTCACAGTATATATGTTCTGTCGCACCATGAGCTACCTTGACGAGTAAGATATTAAAAAAAATTAAAAGTTCAATTTTTTTAACACGAGTAAACTGTTAAAAAAAATTACTTTTATGAAAATATAACTTTCATACGAAGCTAAAAGCTGATGTCTCTGCTGAAACATAAAGCTCCGAAACAAAGGAAAAACAAAAATTGAAATGTTACACAACTAAACCATTCCCAAAGGGAGGTAACAGTCAAAGCCCTAAATGGCTAAATCTATAACAAATTCAAAGAAAAACATATATAAGCCAAAATCTTTGTTTCTTTGAGAGCCAAAAAACCAAACCCAACAAAAAAAAAAATTACAAACTACTTCTTCCGTAGATAAAAGGAAGAAGAACCGAATCCTTTCTCTGAATCATTTCATTCTTGGTTGCACTAAAACTTTGAAGAGATTCTTTTTTTTCCTTAACGACCACCTCCGCGGTAGTAACCGTTACCTCTTGGCCTGTAGTCACCTCCATCCTGGTTTCCTCTGCCAGACCCACGGGCACCAAACCGGCCTCTTGGTGCTTCTGTTGGGTAACCTCCCCTTCCACGTCCTCCTCCTCGTCCTGGTCAGTCAATAGAAATCACAGTCAGAATGAGTTACATGTGGTAAACTTTCTTTTTTATGAGGCTTTCACAGGACGCTCTAAAGAATTTGTTGGGCATAAAGTGCAGTTTCAAATGACGACTTACTTGCACCGCGAACACCAGCGGGATTGGGTCTTCGTTCCTCAATGTATACTTGCCTTCCACCCAAGTATATAGGAGAAGCCTATAAATATTATTACATAGAGGGAAACTGATAAGAACAAAGCGAAAGGAAAACAGAAGATGACAATTAATCCTGTGAGATAACTGTGGAATAGAATCTAGACCTTAATGGCATTCTCAACGGAAGTCATGTCCTCAAACTCAACAAATGCATAACAAACGCCCATAACATCCTGCATGTTTGGTTGCAGTAAGATTGTTAATTTTGGCTCTTTATATCACTCAAGACAAACATAGAGAAAAAGTAAAATTAAAAAAAAAGATATGAAGATTATTTACCTTGCGGGTTCTGAGAAACACACCATCAGGCTTGATTGTACCAAAGTTCTTAAACTCTTCCTCAATTTCAGAAGCAGATATGTCGGACGGCAAATTCCTAACATACACTGATTTGAACTCAACTGAAACAAGGCAAACCAGAAAAAAATGAATATACAATACTACAATACCAAATGACAAATAAAATCAAATAGCAGTACATCTTAGTGCAACTTTTACTAGTCCAAGATATCAAAAAACTTACAGTCTTCAAATCCAGAGCCATCTTCTGCCTCTGCTCCATAGTCGGAAACATACGTGGATGAAGCGTTTGATTGCTGAACAGGGGCAAGAGGCGCAGCCAGCTGAGGGGAAGGAGTCCGCCTTGGTTGATCCCACTCATTAATATCTTGAGAGTTCTTGTTATATGATGGTTGTGTAGCAACTACAGGTACAGCTGCTGCTTCCTTTGCAACCTTTAACTGAGAAAAAGAGAATCAGCGCATCTCCAATTAAAAAGAGAATTTTCTAAACCTCAAATGAGACAAAACTAAAGTTAGGTACAAATGACAAGACCGAACCATGGTTATTAGTCATGGTACTAGATTGTAATCCCCATTTCACACCATTATCTTTTAAAGGGAAGTCTACAGTCTACTATAGACTGACTCCTATGACACAAATATAAATGAACAGAGCAAGATATGTATGTGCTTCCAGGTCGTTATTTTCAATAGACATGTTGTTTTGTGACTATCCTGAACACTACACATGACCATAGAGAGTGAGCACTTACAATGGAAGCATAACTCATCTTTGATTTTTCACCAACGGGTTCCTCTACTGGTGCAGCCCGATGTTCATGGACCACATCAACTGCAACTTCTTCCCTAGGTGTTTCCTCAATCGCAACTTCATCTTCATAGACTTCATGCTGAGGTTGATGTTGGTCCTCTTGCAGACTGTACTTATCGACAAGATCATCTTTGATTTGGACTGCGTTCACATAATCTCTTGCTTCTTCCTCCAGAACATAGTCAGGAACTGAAAAGTAAAAACCAGTGATATCAATTTTAAATTTAACATAAAAGCAAACAAATTCACCACACTGAATCTGTCAAACAAAACATGACAAACAAACCTTGGGGTTCTGGATGATGGCTTGGAGGATTAAGCTGAGCCTCATGCTTGGTTTCAGATAAATAAGAAGGCTGATGATAGTAAACAGTCCCCTCATCAACAAACTGAAATATATCATTGAGAACAAAATAACCCTTTTCCTGAGGAGCAAGAAAAAAAGTCTGCACAAAACTCCTTCTGTTGGTAAATTCCTTGGTTTTAACAGAGCCTGAAACCACCACAAGAACACCACCTTCCCACGACTCGACTGAATTGATCGTCTTCACTTCAATCGCAGTGAAGTTCAGTGACATAACCATGTTATGAATATGCTACAATCACATAAAGAAATTGCAAAATCAATGACTTTCACTAATTGACATCAGAGTAAACTTCAACAACTAAATTAAGTAAAGCACAAATCTTTATCAACTTAAGTTCCACTAATCCTCTAGAACCTAATGAATTCGAGTAAAAGATTGGATCTTGAGAGCAAGATTTGTTTACCAGTAAAGTATTAGCAGTCTCGGTGGAATCACCATCGATACGAATAGCTCTACTAGGCTCAGAATAAAACTGATGAATAAGATCTGGTTGCTGCTGCAACACTTGATAATACTGCCCAACAAAGTAAGAACCCACCTACAACACATAAAACACCGATTCAATCACTTAGTCACGAAACCAGTAATAGTATCGAAAGAATCAATTTTTCGAAATGAAAACTCGCCTGCGTCGCTCCAGGATAAGGAGTCGCCATTATTTAACAAAACCCAAGATCTGGATTTAAACAAAAACCCTAAGATCCGAAGAAGATCGAATCGGTAAAAAAACGTTACAAGAAGACGAAATCAATCAGAAGAACTTCCTCTACAAGAAACAGGATTGAGAAAGCGAAGAAGACGAGAGTAGTATCTCTCTATTGAAATTGAAGAAGAAGAAGAGATCTGAAGAAGGATTGACGAAGAAGAAGAAGTGAGATTTATAAAGGGGTTTACAGAGAAAAAGGAAATGGAGAGAGTATAGATCTAAGGGTTTTTGTGAAGCACTAGAGATAGGGTAAGGAAATTATAAGAGGAGGCGCTCTTTATTCCTTTTTTAATATAAATGTATCTTTTCTTTCTTTTTCTCTTTGATTTGCCCCATAAGTTTTGAATTTGTACTAAAATAACCCTGAACTATGATAATTACAATATGTGTCTTTTTCCTCATGATTTTAACACCATTGGTTTTGATTTTACCAAATATAAACCACAAAACTTTACGGTGTAGATCTTTAATGGAATACACTGATACATGCTTTTTTCCTATGCATCATTCGCTCCAAAAAAGGATTGATTGAGCTAACACGTTTTTTATTGGGAAATTCGGCCCAACCGAGCAACGGTTCGTCCTAAGCGTGTCAGCTTGGCCCAACAATACAACGGCGTGATGGCTCAGCCCATATTCATTCGCTCCGGCCCGATAAGGCAATATCTCTAATTTGGAAGGGTAAAAAGGGGAAATCACAAGGGAGACAAGAAGTCATTAGCGATAGATAAGACAATATATTTCCGTTTGTGTTTCTTTTTCCGTTTTGTATCTTCGATTTCTCGTTCAGCTGATTCACTATAAATACCAATCTCGTTCATCGTTAATAAAGAAGTTGCTATGTTCTCTCCAAAAACCCATTATATATTTATTGTTACAACCTCGACACAAACACTTTCTCTCATGATATTAAACACCAAAGGTTTTAAGGTTATAAAACAAACCACAAACTCTTTTGCGGTTACTTATTTTTTGTGTTTGTTCTCATCTTATGAATTTAACGACAGAAGTTTTGAGATCGTACTAAAATTTGAGATTTCCTCCTCTCTCTTTCTTCTTTGCATTTTGTTTTGATCCTCTATATATTTGTCATATGATAATGTTAGACTTGTCTACTATCAATGGTGTCACAACACACATTGTTAGAAGTATGTATTTGTTGTAATCATGACATCATGTGTTGTTGTCTTGTGATCACAATGCACACAATTAGTTATGCATTCTCTTTTGATATGGATATTGAGTGATAAGTTCATTATATGTGTGAATGGCTCCAAGATCATTGAAACCGATGATAGGTCAAGAATCTTATTGTTAAAAGGATCGTGGTGGATCAATTTTATTGGGCTTTTTATGGCCCAATAAATGGGCTAGCTAATTTATTGGGCTTATATGGCCCAATCATTGTAAACAAAACTCCTCTATAGTCCGATTGATAGAAACCCTCGTGACGATCCTCACTCTCCGAAGCGATTATTCAGAAAGTTTTAACCAAAACAAAAAAAAATCTTCTTATCAATCAATGGCGGCGAAGAGAATCGGAGCCGGTAAATCTGGCGGCGGAGATCCAAACATACTGGCGAGAATTTCAAACTCCGAGATCGTGTCTCAAGGAAGACGCGCCGCTGGAGATGCCGTCGAAGTATCAAAGAAACTGCTAAGGAGCACCGGAAAAGCAGCGTGGATCGCTGGAACAACTTTTCTCATCCTTGTTGTTCCATTGATCATTGAGATGGATCGCGAGGCACAAATCAACGAAATTGAGCTTCAAAATGCCAGTCTCCTCGGAGCTCCACCATCTCCAATGCAAAGGGGATTGTAAGAATCCCTATTATGGATTATGGTTCTCTGTTTTACCTGTGTTTTTTGTTATATGGTGTTTTTTGGAATTTGAATTTCGTAGAAGAGTGCTTTACTTCACATCGTTGGATTCATAAAGTTCAAAGCTTTGGTTGTTTTCTTATTATTATCTTCAGATTGATTTGGTTATCTATAATTTTCTGGTTTCTCTAATTCATCATCCGATTGAAATTGTTTCTATTGAGATAAGTTAGTTCAATTTAGCATCTTTAGGCAATGAAGTTGATTGTCACTTTCTATGAATGGCTTAACCTTTAATAGACTAACCAAAACCATTGATTGTGTGGTCATCTTCTTGTTCATGGTACTTGGGTTATGGAGTTTGAGTTTTATACAAGTCTGGGTTAGTTTACTTATCATATGTTTGATGGGGTTCCTCTCCTTTTAGTCGAGTAATCAATACCTCTCGTAGGACCGAAATGGTCTTAAACAGGCTCCTCGCGCCTGGTATCATGAGTGAAATTTCTGATAGCTGCTTATATCCAAGTCTCATCTTTATCACAAATGCTACGAATCCAGAAACTTCCTCTGCACCATCATCCTCGTCTGTTTGTTTCATTAAAGTGCTTAAGGTGAAAGAGACTTGTTAACTTCTTTCTTGGTATAGAGATCTATGTGTAAGATGATGTGTGTGTCCTCCTGTCTACTCTTGGTTTGGGAAATCATGTTCTGGATCTTACTTTAACCAAAATTCAGTAGTCAAAGTGATGGTTGAAGCGTATTCAATGCTCTAGAGTTTTGAAGCTTGTTTATATGGTTGATTTTCACTTTATTTGAATGGCTCTACATGAAAATAAACTACCAAAAAACCCTTGATGGTAGTCTTCTTCTAGTTCGTAATACTTGAGCGATGGAGTTTCAGTTTTATTTAAGTCTAGGATAATTCCTTCTGAGATATGTTTGATGTGATTGCCAAGTTGTTATGTCTTTGTTTCGTTAAACGGTTTAAGCTGAAAGAAGAGATTTCGGCTTATTTCTAGGTTCAAAGATCTCCTCTTGGTTTGGCAATCATGTTCAGAATCTAAACCAAAATTCAGTATTCAAAAGTGGTGGTAGAACAGATTATCAGCTCTGAAGCTGTTTTTTTTTCTTTAACCCGGTTTGAGTATCGAGTAAAAGAACGGACATTGAAGTTCGATGTGTATGTGCCTTTGCAAATATTGAAATCAATTAGGGTTTCAATCTAGTGTATATGGTTATTTACCATAATTGTGCATATTTTTGAATAGTATCACAATCACTTTATATGCTATTGATAGAATTTTGTAGATGTAGTGAAATTGTGAAAAGTATAGTTGGATACTGTGAATCTCGCTAACTCCAAGCTTCCAAAGTGAGCTACCAATAAAGCTTCACTCTTTCCCAACGAAAACGACTGAAACTAGATCTATCAAGAAACTGAGAGCATGTGTAATGCAAGTCTCTCATCAAAGTCTTTCACATATAAAAGTAATAATAAAATAAGAAATAATATTATTTAATTATGTGAGTCTTTCATAGGAGAGACTTTGAGAGCCTCTCTCCACTTTTTTGAGAGACTCACATAATTAAATAATTTTATTTTTTATTTTATTGTTACTTTTATAGTTGAGAGACTATGGTGAAAAATTTGCATTGCAGATTGTCCATGCTCTGAGGAGTCACGTACAACTTGTATTGTTTCACTAAAAAAAAGCTGCTTTAACTTCTTGTTGAGTATTTCTCTTTTTCATCAATTTTCTATTTTGATGCTTCATTTTACTTTTTTTTTTTATTTATCAATTGTGGGTATGCTTTTTTTATCTGATCTAAATCATTGGAAATAGAACAAGTAATAATCAGTAAGTTGAGGAATCTCTTTCATCCTTCAATGGTCATTTAAATAAATGAAAAGATTTGAAAGAGAAATTAGATACTGAGTGACAAATAGACAAAAAAAAAATTAATTAATTAAATGACAAAATTAATAAGCATCATATTTACTCTTCTTCTTCATGGCAGATCTCAAAACCAACAAGCAAACAATCACAAACCCTAAAACAAAAACTCCTCCCACCGCCAAAGCTATCGTCCTTTCTGTGTGTTGTCTCTTCTCTCCACCTACACACACAATGACACAAACACCCATTAATGGCCGTTCCCATTATAAATACTTTTTCACACAAAATTAATTTATTAAAAAAAAAAAACAAATTGTAAGCCTCACTCACATGTAACCTGAAACCTAAATGATGTGTCAACATTCTAAAATTTGGAAAAAATCTGGTCTTTTCTATTATAAAGTTATCTATTTCCCCACTAGTTTTTTGGTTTTAATATCTTCTTCCACTAAGCTCTTTGTTATCGTCTTGTCTCCATTAGTTTTTGTTTAATCTACTTGACAACGAAACTACATAAAGATGTAAACATTCTTATACGAGATTCATGTGTATGTACTATCATCTAATTATTAGGATTTGAGTACTAAAAATCTACACTCACTAAATACAATAATTTAGGATAGAACTACTTTTATAATCATCTTTCTGAATTGTATAATATGAGATTTTCAAATGTAATATTATATTAAAAGAAATATATAATATTGATATTAATTTTTGTTTACCTGAAATTGGTTCTATGTTGTTGGGAACACCATGAGAGTAGTAACTATAGCTAACGAAGCACTTAAGAAGATAAACTTGTCCCGAGTTCGAATCTCCACACTCACTCTTTGCTTTCTCAAATCCATCTTTCACACATTCCCCACAATCTGAATTTCCCAAACTACCCTCACACTGTCCCAACACGTACACCGACTCATATTGCCCCGCGTAAAACCCTCCTCCGCCACCACCACCGCCAGCACCACCGCCACCGGATGATCCACTTTTCACGCCGTTCTCCGCCATACCAAACGCCGTCTCCCTCTTCCCGACAAACCCAGGATCGCTGGAATCTTTTTTCCCGCAGATACGGAACAACATCTCCGTACCAGAAGTTTGTCGGAATCCTGAGATTTCATACCGGAGATAACATCCGGCGAGCTGCACACGAGCAGCCACCACCACATTACCGTCATCTCCGCCACCACCGCAGAGTTTAGAAACGAGTTTAGGGATTTTAGAGACGCAATCGTAACACTCAGCGTTGTGGAGATCGCCACGGCACTGAAAAACACCGATCACGGCGGTTGTGTTATCAGTTCCGGAGGTTACGGAGGCGTAAGAGCTTTGTGCTGATTGAGAAACTAAAGAAGTGAATAAGTTTTTGAGATTCTGAGAGAAAACACCAGTTGGGTCTGGGAATTTCTGATTAGCACAACCTTTAAAGATGAGATTTTTATTATCACCATCACCGGAGATTACAAAGAATGGTAAGAAGAACCAGAAGATGAAGAATTGATAGATGAGTTTCATAATTGAGAAAGAGAGAGAGATTTCCAAATTTTGTTTCTTGATGTTGAAAATCTTTTATTAGTTTCTGCATAAAGTTTGTGTTGTTTTATTTATATTTTTGTCGTTTGAGGGTTTAAAGACAAAAAAATCTAATGGGGTTTGAGAAATAAGAGCTGGTTTTGTAGTATGAAACCATGAAAAATAAAGGAGTATACTTTTCTTTGGATCTTGCTTCAAGGTTAAGATTAAAAGAAAGAAACTTTGAGACGACAAGTGTTTATTATATAGATTTTGTTTTGGGAGATTATGTATTACAGTATCAAAAAAATGATTACTGTTACCTTTTTTGTTGTTGAAATTCAGTGAATAACCCTTTAATGCCATTGAATCTGACTTTATTGTCTGAATTTGGAGTTTATTACAGGACATTCAATATCTCATTGAAGAAAATACACCTTTTGTGGATGGTTTTGCCGGTAGTACGCGATATGTTTTTTTTGGTTCAAGGCACTATTTTGATGATTTGACATAAATTGTAGGCTGAAACGAGAAGGAGAATAAAGTCTTAGACCATCATTAATGGTAGTTTCTTAGGAAGATCTTAGAAAAAAATCTTAGCTTAAAATAGATAAAAAAAAGCAAATATCTTAAGATTGTTAAGAATGTCTCTTAGCTAAGAGACATTTGGTGGATTAAAAAGTGTTTCTTAGCTAAATGTCTATCATCTAATGCTAAGAGCCAATATTAAGAGACTACCAATAATGTTGCTCTTAGAGATTGTGTAAATGTAAAAAGATTGATTCGATTTTTCCAATAAAAGCATGATCGTTAAAATTGAGTTTCCATAGTATCAAAACATAATCGTGGAGTGAATAATAATAAACTTGTGTGTTTTTGTCAATTAATTACAAAAGATATCATCACTATGATCGTTTTGAGTTAATGATTTTTTTTTTAACCACAAAATAAATCCATCTATTTAAGCTAGAAACGGACGGTTTTTTACGGGAGAAAACCAGTCCAGTGTTGAAGAGCTTACATGGGGAAAAAGAGAACTGCGTGCTCTTGCATTCTTAGCGAGACAATCGGGAAACCTAGTTTTAAAGCATTAAAATCTTCTAATTCTGAAGCAAAAGCGGGCCGCTCATCCGGAGGGTCCAATAGCTGTGTCAGCTCCTTGCAATCTGTCTCAAAGGGAACATTAAAAATAGATAATGATGTGAGGGATCTCATTGCCCAGAGAAGCGCTTCAAACTCTGTGTGAAGTGAAGATAAACAGTACCGAAAACACTTGAGTCCAAGATTAATAAGCTGAGAGTCTGAGATAAGAATCCATCCAATGCCGCATAAAGTGCCTTCGTCTATCCAAGATCCATCAACCTGGCAAATCAAAAGATCTGAAACAGTGGATCGCGAACCTGGGTCTATAAGGGGCAGTTGAGAATCAATGATCGACTCTCTGGCTCTTGCGATGCGAAAAGACTCTGCTTCTTTGCAGGCAAGCTGAAGCGTATCTACAGGATGAACTTCTGAGTTCTCAAAAACTTTTAAGTTTTGTGCTTTCCAGATGAACCACAAAATCCATGGAAAGCCCCTGATAGCTTCCTCCCTTACTCCAAGCTCCTTTGCTCTCCAGTAAAGATGATCTAAGTTTGCGAAAATCGAGGGAGCAAGAAAGACTCCTTGAATCAGAGGAATCTTGGAGAGAGACCAAACCTGGTAAGATAGAGGGCATTCAAATAACACGTGGTTGATAGTCTCATCGCACATCCCACACCGAGGGCATGTCTTATCAGTTCCTAAATGTCGATCAACAAGTCGTTGGCAGGTGGCTAGACATCCCGTGGCAGTTTGCCAAAGAAAGTGTTTAATTTTTCTGGGGGATTGGATTTTCCATGATTGTGCATGTAGTGCGCTAACACTGGGTCCCTGAAAAGGAAGGTCACAATCTCCTCGCGGGCTAGCTTTCGGTGCCCAGTAGCCGGATCTGACAGAGTAATTGCCAAATTTTGTATGAGCCCAAATGTAAGAATCTCTCGAGAATGATAAACTCGGATGTAACCCCAAGATGCGGGGTATGTCTTCTGGCGCTATCAAATCCTAGAGCTTAGCCATGTTCCAAGTCTTAGAGATCGGGTCAATCAGCTCATTAACATAGAGGTTGGGATCCGTGGCTTCCAGCCTACTGATCGGTGTACGAGCCGGTGTAGTTGGAATCCACAGATCACTCCACACTTTCGTGTCAAAACCCAATCCAATATTCTTTCTCAAACCCGAGAGTAGGAGAGGTCTAGACGTAAGCATACTATGCCATCCGTAGGAGGGTAGATATGAGGGCTTGACTTGGAGGGGGCTCAAGTAGCGAAAATATCTACCTCTTAGGACCCGTGCTAGCAGGGAGTTTGGGTACCTCACTAGACGGCACATCTGCTTGGCAAGGAGTTCTAGGTTAAAATCTTCAAACATTCTGAAGCCCAAGCTTCCTTCCGATAATGGAGTACATCATTTATCCCAAACAATCCAATTTAGACCCCTACTCTCTTGATTGTTACTCCACCATAAATTCGAAATTGTACTACTCAGTTTAGAGCAAATGTTTTTAGGCAGGAGAAGAAAGCAAGACATGACATACGTTGGGAGAGCTTGAGCCACTGATTTGATAAGAATCTTCATACCTCATTTGGATAGAAATTTTGACAACCAAGTATTAATCTTGCTCTTTAACCGATCTTGGACAAATGCGAAGACTTGAGCCTTAGATCCCTGGATCTTCTCTGGAAGTCCTAGGTAGGTGCCCATGCCACCTTCTTGATGGATTCCTAAGATTCTCTTAATATCAGTCTTTCTCTGTGGTTGGATCTTGCTCCCAAACATAACTGAAGACTTCGAAAAATTAATTTGTTGTACTAATGCCTCGCCATATTGGCGGATGATGGAGATAATTTCTAAACTCTGTTGACATTCCGCTTTACAGAAGAAGAGGCTGTCATCAGCAAAAAGAAGATGGGAAACTAGGGGACTCGCGCGGGAAAGATGAAGCCCTTGGATTTTTCCAAACCATTCAGCTCGATTAACTTGAGCGATAAGCGCCTCTGTACAGATGATGAAAAGGTAGGGAGATAGAGGATCTCCTTGCTGATTCCTCGCGTATGAGAGATGCTTCCTTTAGCTTCTCCGCTGATAAGAACCTAGTAAGTAACAGTCTCTACGCAGGTCATAATCCAATGAACCCATTGAGGTGAGAATCCGAGTTTTAGCATTAGAGTTCTTAGGAAAGACCATTCAACCCTGTCAAAGGCTTTGCTCATATTTGTCTTGATTGCCATAAAGTATTTTCGGCAAGCATCGTTAGTGCGGAGAGCGTGAAAATTTTCTTGCGCTATAAAAATGTTATCTGTGATTAAACGTCTTGCCATAAAGACGGATTGAGTCTCTGAAATGATCTTTGGAAGAGTCTTTCGGAGCCTGTTGGAGAGAACTTTGGAGATGATCTTATAGTCCACGTTACACAAACTGATTGGTCTGAAGCTTATCATCTCTGTAGGTCTTCCAATCTTTGGTATAAGACAAATATTTGTTTGATTCAGCTTCGGATCTAGAATACCTGATGAGAAGAAGCTTTTAATAGTGTTAACCAGGTCAGGTCGGACTATATGCCAGAATTTCTGGTAGAAGAGGGCCGTCATACCATCTGGACCCAGAGCATTACTGGGATTCATCTCAAAAAGTACCTTTTTTTATTTCTTCTTCAGTGACCTCTCTCGTGAGGCACCCGTTCTTCTCTTCGTTAACTATCTCGGGAATATCCTGGAGGATCTCGTGCTCCGTCGATGCGAGGCTTGAGATAAATAATTGCGAAAAATAGTTGGTTGCAACTCCTTCTATCTCCTCCTCAGATGCAACCCAATCACCGTCGGAGTTGAGCAAACCTACAATTCTATTCCTAGCCCGACGTTGTTTTGTCGAAGCATGTAAAAACTTGGTATTCTCGTCACCTTCGCCTAACCAAATTGCTCGACTCTTTTGCTTCCAATGAAGCTCTTCCTCCCTGAACGCATCGCATAACTTAAACTTTAGCTAGGTGATTTCGGAAGGGTCTCTATTCTCATCCAATTGAGCTTCATCAAGTTCGGCGGTCAATTCTTCAATTAGTTTCGCTGAGTTAGAGTTTGAAAGCTCACTCTTTCTCCACGTCAAAATTGCTCTTCTGCATGATTGAATTTTTTTGACGATATCGCATGCGTTTTCGGACGGTTCTCCCCAACCTGCAATAATTGCCTCCTCAAGACCTTTCTTGCCAAACCAACGTTTATCGAACTGGAAGCTTCTTTTCCTCTTTTTGTTTTTTGAAAGAATATGTGCTAAAAGTGGGCGGTGATCCGAGCCCAGAGGCGTAAAAACTCCACATTAGTGTGGGAAAAAGTATTGTGCCAATCTTCAGTACCAAAAGCTTTGTCCAGCCTGCATTTTATTAGACCGTTACGCCGTCTTCCGACCCAGAAGAATGGGTTTCCTTTGTAGGGGAAGTCGACGAGTCCACAGTTGTGGATCATGGTGTTGAAAGGAAGAAACGAGTTATCTGATCTTTTTTTCCGCCTTGTTTTTCATGATTTCCGCATAGCTCATTGAAATCTCCAATAAGAAACCAGGGGTCAGAGCGCTCAATACCAATACGGGTGAGTCTTTCCCAAATATTTTTTCGGTACTTAACGACCGGATCTCCATATACAAAAGATAAGAACACTTTATTTCCATCAATAATAGTCTCAACATCAATCAAACGATTAGTATAAGAGAGTATAGAGGTGGGATAATCATTGGAATAGAATAAAGCTAGACCGCCACTAGTACCTTCTGGCTCAACAGTAAAAAGGTTGTCATAACCTAGATCCAATTGTCTTTCTTCTAAGACAGATCTTTCATTTTTAGTTTCAGAAAGGAACAAAAAACCTGGGAAGAATTTTCTGCGCATCTCCCTTAGCCTCTGAATTGTCAAGTATGCTCCTACTCCTTGATAATTCCAGGCGAGGATTCTCATTGAATCTTACTGAGTGGGTTCTGGGATCCCACCAGACCTGAGAGAGACTTTGTTCTTTTGTTGACTGACGATGGAAACACCCCAGTGCGGGAGACAGTCGAATTAATGATAAGCATTATTGTTTTTGTAGAATTTTAGATTTCACATTCTATATGATATTTTTTGAGTTGGTGTGAGGGTCGAACCTTTGCTTTTGTATCGTAATGACACTATGTAAAAAAGCCTTATATAAGTTTTACACTACAACAAAAGTATGCATTGATAGCACTATAGGATAGCGTTGATTACTCAATTGCTATTACAGAGGGTACCCAGGGTTTTGTAACTATAACACAGCGTTTCAGAAACGCTAAGACGAATAATAGCAAAGCGGGAAACTAAAATCACGTGTACCGCCAACACTTGGTGAAATTTTGTCCAAAACCGCGAACACTTAGAAAAAAAACAAGAAAATAAGCTTTGGTCTTAAAACAAAAAAAAGAACAAAAAAAAGAGAAGACTCGAGGAAAAAAAAAACACAACACTCTTAGAGTGAAAACACAACACTCTCAGAGCATCTCACAACACCCTAAACCTAATTTCAGACGTCGGCGAATCTTGCTTCACCGGCGAGAATCTCCACTTCCACCGGCGTCGATTTCAATATGGGCTCGGTGTCTCGACCTAGATCTGATTCGGAGCTGGGTTTCTCTCGACTTCTCGTCCTCTCCGTAGCTCTATTCTTCTGCTCCGACTGTTTCTCGTTCGCCGGACTTCTCGTCTTCTCTGTTGTTCGACTGATAAGGAGCTGGGTTAGTCTTCCATCCGATTTGATTTCTCATTCAAGCTGCTCCTATTTTCAGTCTCCTTAACCCTAATTAAATTCTCTTATTGTGAGCTTTCAAGGTCTGTAGCTTATTGCGAGGTTTGAAGCTCTTTATCAAGGAAGGAGACGAAGCTGAAAGGAAAAGAAGGAAGAGATTTCAGATTCTGTAAGTAACGAAGCTGTAAGTAATTTTCGATTTTGTTTCTAATTGAGAATTAGGGTTCAAAACTATATTATTAATTTGAGATTGTGTTTCTAATTGAGAATTAGGTTTGGGTCAAGTCGCGTACCAAAAAGGATGGTACGCCAGTCAATACTAATGCAGCTGAAAAGATTGTAAGCGTCCAATTCTTTGCTGATTGGTAATTAACATGGTATTTGGATGGTTGTGGTGAGTTGTTTTTGATCTGATATTTGTTATTCAGAGAAAGGCAGCTGAGGTGGAGAGTAATGATCAGTCCACAACAACCAATCCAAAAGAAGATGGTCTTTCTCAAGTTTTAGGACCTGATAAGCCTGGTCGACTAAGGGCAATGGGAAGAGGGATGAGTATGACTAAACTTGCTTTTTTTTCAGGTGAAGAGTAAGTGTATGGCTCAAATGGAAGAAAAGCAACTACATTTGCAGCGAAAGGTGGATGACTTAGAAGCTGTAATTGCAAATTATCAGGTTAGTCATATTTTAACACTAATGACATAAGACATTTGATACTTTCTATACTTCCAAGATTAAGTAACCATATAATTTTTATGCATGCGCAGAGAGGAGATGCTGAAGTAGGTGAAAACTCAGCTCCAAGAGTAAGTAATAATCATGTAGTTTTTTTTAGTTAAAACATTGATTATGGCTTTATTTTTAATCTAACATCTATCTTTTTCGATGTGGATGTTGACCAAGAAGATATTGTCCCTAAGGTAGTACTTTCTAATGTATTTTTGATGACTATATATCTTTCTATGCTTAAGTGTATCTGCCTTCATTTGTTTCTTCTTTTGTTCCACAGAGCCCAAGCACAAATTCTGCTAATAAGTGTAAACTAATGGATTGGAATGGAGACGAAAAAGTTCTTGTTGCTGAAGGGCGGTGGATGACACAAGAACGCAAAGCATTGGTTAATGGACTTCCTCTCGGGCCAAATGCTGTAAAAGTATTTGTGGATGTGGTACACCGACCGGAGACCTTTCTGTGGAGGCCTACTACAGAATTGCAAACCATTGAGGACTGTTTGAAGTCATTTGTAGCATGGCCTGCTAGAAGAGTTGTTTTTGGAACAACATCAGAGGGAGATGCAACGACGTCACGATCTCCGGTTGCAACTCCACGGAGGGAAACAGTCTCATCTCAGCTTGAGAAATCTGCAGCAACTCCATCACCTCCTGTGAAAAAAGCTAAAAGTGCTTCAGAATCACATGTTGTTAGGAGATCTCCGGTAATATGTTGATTCATAATCACCAGTTTTATTTTGATTAAGTTCCTTGTTGTTGTTTCTAATATTATGCACTACATGTTGGCAGCGTAAGAAGGCAAACCAAGTTTCAATGGAAAATCTGAGGTGTAAGTTGATGGCTATAACTGGGAAGAAGCAGGTCGTTGCCGAAGGTCGCTGGTCTTCAAACAATCCGGACCAAGTTGTCCACTTTGTTCCCTTGGGGCCAAAAGGAGTACGAGTTTGGGTCGATGTTGTCAAAGTTAAAGATGCCGCTGTTTGGAGACCTTCTGATGAAATCGAGGTTATGGAAGATGCAATAGGTTCATCTATTGCATGGCCAGAGGACAAAGTGGTTCTCTTTTGAACTTTGAAACTTTTGGTTGTTGTTGTGATATTTAGTATTAAAACTTTGTTTGAACGGATGTTTTGTTTGTGAACGGATGTATCGTTGGATCTTTATGTATTAATGCATGTTTGGATTTGAATTATTTGATTCTACAGGTTTAGGTAAACATAATTTGATTCTACAGGTTTTGGAAATGAATGATTTTGATTAAACGTTTTATTTTATTGTCTTATCATACAGCGGTTTAAATAAGCTGTGTTACGATATCTTAAGACACATACCAAATGTTATATTTTAGTATCATATAACGCCTAACAAAAGCTATATTATAATATATTACAGCAAAAATAAAATGTCATGTAATAATATACTAGAGCATTCAAACACTGCTATAATATATGAATATACTATAGCACAATACAAAACGCTACGGTACGGTGTGACCCTATTATAGCTGGGGCAGACATAGCGTTTAGAAAAACGCTATTGATTACATATAATAGCGTTAATCGTGAGCTAACAATGTGGATATTTGTTGTAGTGTTATTAATATTTTACATTCATTCCAAAAAAAATCCTTTGCTACAGCACGAAATGGTTATAATCACTCGAATACATACGTAGAGGTGTTTCAGAACAACTCTATGACGGTGTTTAAAATCATTAAGGCTACAAAAGAATGAAATAATGTAGCAACTGTAATGTGAGTAGATTAGCGTAATAATGTTTTCTTCGTAAGGTATGCTCGTCATGTTTTGTCATTAGAATGTCTTTGTGAAATATAGCATAATTCATCATGTTAGTTTTTGATTATGTATTTTACATAAGAAAATGATTCATGAAACCACTTCTTAACGCTGATGCCGGAAATTACTTCTTCTAGTTTTTCTATTTGGGGATTTTTTTTCTTCTTCTTTCTAAAACGAATAGTTTTACAATTTATATAATGAACATCTATCTCTTAGCTAAACTCTAGTTTTCTCAAAGAATTCACTCACAAGAAGAGCTCTAATATCAGAAGGAGGGTTTAGAAAAACAAATCTTGATATTTTGAGTTTCCTTTCCTCTTGCATAAAACTCTAATCGTTTAACGGCCATATTTGCCCATGCAGGGTTGACCCGACTCAGTTAAGCCCGGCCCATTAATCCTGGCCCATTAAGCAGAGAAGAAGAACAAATTCATAGGAGGGTCAACAAAAAGTCACAGTCGAACTCGAAACAATCGAAATTTCACCTGGCACTGTCCTTGCGTGTACTCACGCGCCGACGTAATACTCTGCCGTCGACGCCGACATTGTCTCTACGCCGTTCTCATCGCTTTCTCACGGCCACGATTCTCTACTAAGTAGTCAAAATCCTCCACTCCTTCGCTGTATCAAGCTCGCTTTAAACCCTAACCCTCTCGCGACATTTCGTCCCTGTAATTAGTAAGTTCTCCTAATTTCCCGACGAAAGTCTTCTCCTTTTCGAGTCTAATGATCGGAAAACGCTATTAATTAGTTCTCGGGAAGAGAAAACAACGTTTTATTAGGGTTTCTTTGTGCGGTTTGTGTTTCTCAAGAGGAAAGGTTTCAACTTTCTTAGGATGTTCAATTTCTGAGTATTTTCTACTTCTTGGGGTTTGTCTTTGCTGTTAGGTAGATGTCTGGCTCTTTGGTTTGTAATGTTGTTGATTTGCTTTAGGTCTGTCTTTGAATTCTGGCTCTTCATATCTTGTTCCTTTCGCATTTGATAGGATGAGGCAAATGACAAGTTACAATTTGTTTCACTAAAGTTTTTATGAGGCTGGTGATTTGAAATCAATCTTTGTTTGTTGTTACAGAAACAACGATGGCACCTAATCCGCATATCAAGAAAGCATTTATGGCTATGAAGGCTCTGGGAATAAAGGATGCGCAAGTGAAGCCGGTCTTGAAAAACCTTCTCACCCTTTACGAGAAAAACTGGGAGTTAATTGCTGAAGACAATTACAGGGTTCTTGCTGATGCTATCTTCGATAGCCAAGAAGCTCAGGTATCTTTCTTTGTTGTCTCTTTGATCTACTGTTTTCTTATATCTGTGGTTATATGATTGTCTTTGTTATTTACGTTGACATTCCATATTGATATAACATATGAAGGATATTCAAGAAAGCAAAGGAAAGAAAGCTGACGAAGCTAAAGCGGATGAAGGCTGTGTATGTTCTTTCCTCACAAACTTCAATTTATTAGTTCAATTATTGTATTTTTTTAATTTATTAGTTCAATTATTGTATTTTTTTATCGCTTTGTTATATCCATGCTTCGCTTTGTTGTTGATCCAATCTTTCAGTCCACAGAAGTTGACAGAGGAAAGAAGAAGCTCCTTGAAGTATGCAAACTGAATATCTTTGCTGTGTTAGAGTAATGTTTCTTTATGTGCTTGCATTCATTCAGTTTCTGTTGTGTAATATCAGTCTATCGAGGAAGACGATGATGCACTGGCTGAGTCTGATCGCCCTTTAAAGAGGCTGCGGCGCAGAGGTGAAGGAGGCTCTGCTTTGACAAGCCCTAGCTTGGGGAGTCCGACTTTAGAGGAGCCTTCGACTTATGACGAAGAAAATGCTCCGATCCTATTGCCATATCATCCTGTACCAACTAAAAATGACCATGATGCTGGTGAGCTCATTATTCCAAAAGTCGAGCCCATTACAAATATGGCTCTCAGTTCTATTCATCCTGGTACTTTTTGTAAATAGCAGTAACTAAATCTTATTTGCATTGCTCATTTTGTTGTTATGATGTGTCTTGTACGTTTTCTGTAGATTCAGTAGAGCGAGAGAACTCTTCAGTTCCCATGCTTGAGATGGAGAAAACAAATGGACATGTGGAAGAGGGGGCTGGTGAAACAGTAAGTACTGCTGATGGTACTACCAATGATGTTTCTCCTACAACTGTTGGGAGATTTAGTGAGCACAAGCTAGCTGCAACCACAGAAGAACCATCAGCACTTGAATTAGCTTCTTCTGCTTCAGGCGAAGTGAAGATTAATCTTAGTTTTGCTCCTGCAACTGGAGGATCAAATCTATATTTACCTTCTATGGAGGAACTTCGAAGAGCAATGGAGGAGAAGTGTCTTCGATCGTACAAAATACTGGACCCCAACTTTTCTGTGCTTGGTTTTATGAACGACATCTGTAGCTGCTACATGGACTTGGCAACAAAGGGGAAAGATTCAGCTAACCAGTTGCCAAAAAACTTGCCGTTTGTCACAGCAAACATTGATGCATTGAAGAAATCTGCAGCAAGGATGGCTTTTACTTCACAGGGCAGTAATGATCATATGCGTGATGTTGAAAACGGTGCAGTTGGTGATTCCATGGGTTTGGTAGTTGTTCCTGAATGCCAACTTTCTGCGGATGAGTGGAGATTGATAAGCAGCTTCGGGGACATCACTCTAGGGAATGAAACTGTTGAGATTCCGTGGGTGAATGAGGTCAACGACAAGGTTCCTCCAGTTTTTCGTTACATAGTCCAAAGTCTTGTGTATCAAGATGCTGCAGTGAAGATTTCGCTTGGGAATATCAGAGATGACCAATGCTGCTCCTCTTGCTGTGGAGATTGCTTGGCTCCGTCAATGGCATGCAGTTGTGCAACTGCATTTAATGGCTTTGCATACACAGTAGATGGCCTCCTACTAGAAGATTTTCTGGAACAGTGTATCTCTGAGGCCCGTGATCCGCGGAAACATATGGTACAGTATTGCAAAGAATGTCCTTTAGAGAAAGCCAAAAAAGAAGTAATTCTTCAACCGTGCAAGGGGCATCTAAAGAGAAAGGTCATTAAAGAATGTTGGAGCAAGTGTGGTTGCATGAAGAAATGTGGCAACCGAGTTGTCCAACAGGGCATTCACAACAAGCTGCAAGTAAACACATTCACCTTACCAACCTTTTTGTGCCAAGTGGTCCAGTTTTTAATAATCTAAACCCATCTCAGTTCTGATAGAATTGAAACTGATTATGATCAATTTTAACTTGTACTAAACATTCTTTGCAATTTTGTTTATGTTCCTTTCATTTTTTTTTGAATCAGGTGTTTTTCACGCCCAATGGGAGAGGCTGGGGACTCAGAACTCTAGAAAAACTGCCTAAAGGAGCTTTTGTCTGTGAGTTTGCTGGAGAGATATTGACCCTTCCAGAGTTGTTCCAACGCAGCTCTGAGATGCTTACTTCTCCAGTATTATTGGATGCATACTGGGGTTCTGAAGACATTTCAGGGGATGACAAAGCACTTTGTCTTGACGGAACGCACTATGGAAATATTTCCAGGTTCATCAATCACAGGTATAGGGACTCTGAAAATGAGTTTGTTATAAAGTTTCAAATGACTAGTCTAGCTTTAGAAACTCATTTGGGAAACTATTAATTGGTTTCCCTCTCAATTCATTTCTTCTAACTGTACTATGTCTATTGTGCAGATGCTTAGATGCAAATTTGATTGAGATCCCAGTTCATGTGGAGACTACTGATTTACACTACTATCATGTATGACACAGTTCCTGGTTTCATTTCTAATCATTTGCTTATAGAAGTCTCATCTGTTATGTGGAAACAATAGACAGATTAGCTAATCTGTATTTTTTCCAGCTCGCATTCTTCACAACAAGAGAGATCGATGCTATGGAGGAACTTACCTGGGTGTGTTAGAAGTTTCTCCACCCACTCTTAATAGATTCGTTTCTTTTAGAAATTTTCACTTGTTCGGGTTCAAGTCCTTTTTTTTTTGTGGTTCTGTCTGAGAAGTTTTGGACTTACCCTGCAGGATTATGGTGTCCCATTCAACCAAGATGTGTTTCCCACGAGTCCGTTCCATTGTCGATGTGGTAGCGAGTTCTGTCGGGTCACTAAGCAGATAAGCAGTGAGTAATCATCACAAGTTTTATTAATTGATAATCTTTTTCCTTAGTTTGACTGTTAAATGTTTATCTCGGTTTTGATACATGAGCCCTTCACTATTTTTGCAACTAAATCACGCAATTTGTTGATGCTGCAGAAGGCAAGAATGTGAAGAAGCGAGCATGAGAGCTTTACTTTGGTAGTTTTTGAAGATATGTGGTGGTGCAATCTCTTTTTTTTTTTGTTGTTGTGAATGAATTGGCAAAAAAATTCCAATCGAAAAAACTCTT